TTTCATTCATTATGAGTAGTAGTGATTCATTTATGTTTGTATTTTGGTCTCTATAATACCACTGTATAATTTTTTGCATCATGAGTGTTATGAGTTTTTGCTTGTTCAGTTTATGTTTAGTAGGGGAAGAGTCCATAATTTCTATGCTCTCAGGTCTGTTGGCGCTTTGTTTCTTGTCATGTTTTGTTCTTTGAAGGTCTTTTGATTCTGCTTGTTTGCTTAATCTTGTTCCCTTTGTTTTTCTATTAGGTTCTTTTGACAATCTTTGTCTGGATAATGACCGTTTCTTTGTTTGAGATGGGATAGAGTCCATTTCTCTTGGTTCTTCAATGTTGTACTGGGTTTTGTTATTTCTTTTATGAACTTTTTGATTCTCTTGTGAATGTTTGGAGCATTCTATTTCTTGAAGGATTTTTATACTTCAGATTGGGAATTTCGGAGTTATTTGTTTTCTACTTATAGATTCTTTTTTGTTTGAGGTTGATACAATAGGATTTGTTTTGATTCTGAAAATTTGGTTTATGTGTGATATACTAAATTTTAGTACTTCTGTTAGATTTTTTAAATCATTTATTAGAGTTGTAAGGTCTTGGGTTTTTTATTGCATTTTAGTGATTTGATATTTTAGTAATATTTGCATATGATGTTGGACATGAATTAAATTAAACCTGTTTTTTGGCTTTTTGGAATGAGACATCTTGCTTGTATTTTATTCTTATTATTTCCTTTTCTTTTTTCCAGATGTTACACTCTTTAGAATCTGTTTTTTTTTTGTGCAGTTAAGGCATAAAGGAGGGTTTTTCACAGGGTGACTTCATGATCTGATTTGAATTCCTGACATCTTCAACAGACTGATGCTTTCATACATTGATTTTATAGATGACCAAATTTCTGATATTTGTGACATCTATAGGGATTAGAAATGTATGGCTCTATATTAGCTATTGTGTATCCTATCTTTATTTCTTTTGATAGAGTAGGTTCATTAAATGTCAAAATTTGTCTTTGATATAATGGAATATGCATACACCAGTGTTACCCCTCGCTGGAGTGTGATTGGCTGGTGTCCATCATAAATATCGATGAACATAGAGGAGAGTGAGGAGTCAGAGCCTTAGTTTGAGAGCTAAGTCTATAACGACACCCATTGGACTATGCCACTGAACTACACTTCTTACCTGCGACTACAACGCATACCAGTCAATTACTGCTACCATATTCTACTTGGTTATAGTAGCCAAAACCACTTAGCTACGTTCAAATATATCCCTTTCTGGGACATATCAGTCTTTCTGTTTATTGATATGTCATTTTTTTTTTTTATTATTTGTATTCTTTTGATGTCTGTTACACCTTGCTTTTTTAGGTTGTCATCATTTTTAATTTCTTCTGGTGAGCAGAGTGACAGTTCTGTGCATTTGATTATTCTTTTAGATGAATTAAGAAATTGGTGGTGGGTAAGCCCTTACTTTCATGTCATTTATTTGCTTGATTTTAATAAATTTTCTGCATCTGTTTTGGTTTTTACTTGAATTAGAAGTGTGTTATTTTTCTTTATTTTTCATACAGATTTTTGTTCTATCATGGCAGATATATATTTGCAATACAAAAGACGACACTTTTTGTTATTTCTAATGAGTCTATGACTATGAAAACTGGAAATTGTGTTTTCCTATTGTCTCTTGCTCATTTATAAAAGTTAGCCATATAATTTTTGTATTTTATATTTGTTGTTTGTGTTTCCCATCCATCTCGGAGTTCCTACTTAAAGGACGCTATCAGTTCTGATCTACCAGGGCTACACAGATGGTATAGTTGTGCTGAAAGTGGATAAGAGCACCTGCATTCTGCTACCATATCTATCCAAGCATAGTATGGTGTAAGGATTCACAGCCGTGTCACAGCCATTATCTTTCATCCCAACTAGCCCTTGCCACCATGTGACTAGCTGATTGGATTGGACTGGGCTATTCCATCCACCCATCCATCTCAGGTAGGGACTGAAGTGAAGTGTTGTGGAAGATCCTGGTTATTTTATACAGGATGAAGAGTCACTCAGTTACCAGGACTCTATCCCTGGGCATCACAGGTCACCACCCACAGCAAACAGGTGGCCCCATTGAGAGGAATTTGTAGTCTTTGGGAATTGGTTTTCGTGAATGTGCATTTTATATAATTGTAATTTTAGAGGTAATTTTGTATGGGCGGGTAGTTTAGACATAGTGCTTTGTATAAACAGTTTGTGGATTATGATTTTTTTTTATTAGTTGTTTAAACATGTCTCTTTTTAATTTTGATAAATTGTATGGAGAAACTATATTATTTTCCTGAAGGCATCATCCTAACTATAAACAGACAGATTGTAGGTTTATCATATAAACTAACAGCATGTAGGTGAAGTTTGCCTCATATGAACAATTAGATTCTAATCCATCTTGTTTACTCTATGTATGGTAGTAATTTAATGTCTTTTAACATGAGACATGGGAGAAATTGTTTTATGAAAAATGCAGATTGCAGTTTAGCTAATTTCCTTGGAAGTATTAGTAATTTCTTTTATAAAAATGTATTGTTGGTAATTTTATTTTTTTAAATGCATTGCTAGTAACTTTTAATAACAAAAATTATTTGGACTATTGTCTTCATCTTTGTTGCCATATTTATCACAACATTTTGGCCATTGTATGATCTTCAGGTGGTTGGAATGTTGAACTGAACCCTTTATTTCACTTGCTGGTGTAGACTTAAGGCCACATGGCACAGTGGATAAAGGTGTTGGTTAGATCCAGCGACAGTGTGACTTCAGTACCTGGTTAAATCAGTGGAGAACTTGGCAAGGTAATTTAACAGGAAATAACTGATAACTGACATCCATTAGACATGGCACATAGAGAAAAGGAAAGTCTACCCCAGCAAGCAAAATAAAGGGTTCAGTTCAACATTCCAAACACCTGAAGAAGGCTGGAGTGTACAACGGCTGAAACATTTGATAAATATGGCAACAAAGATGAGGACAATAGTGTGAATAATGTAAAAATATATATATATATATATATTTGAGCACAATACTCAACATCTTTGAAAATCAGGCAAATACGATAAAAAATTAAAGAGCTTGTCAGTTATTTTTAATTAAACCTCTGTGTGTGTGTGTGTATATATATATATATATAATAGCTGGCTATTTGTATTCAAGGATACCTGTCTACTAGGACGGCTAGTCAATCCCTATTGCAGACGCTCGCTCAGGCACATTTGGATTTGCTCAACACCCACAGAGCCCACCTGTGCTTTATACTGCAACTATGCTGAGCAGACCTTAGTTACAGTTTCTGGGAGAGAGTGTGTTATCTAGCATGATCAACAATTTGTACAGGGTCAGTATGTTCAAGCCCTCAGCCACGATGACTTGTGGCCTTGTGCTTGCACAGTTATCAATTCACTTACATTGGTTTTTGGGCACTTTCCAAAGGTGCTGCATGCTGGCATCAACTTTGATCCCTTCTGATAACATCAGGAAGTCTCCTTCCTGACAAATCTACCATGATAAGATCTGAACCTGGGTCTCATAGTCAGAAAGTGAATGTTCTAACCACTCAGCTATGCACACAGTTATTTTAATTAAACCTGTGTGTTTGTTATATATATATATATATATATATATATATATATATATATATATATATATATATATATATATACACACACACACACAAAGTGCTACCCCAAATTAAAAAAAAAACTTTTAGAAGCATTAGTCCTCACAATCATTTTTTTTCTTATGGAGAAAGTTATTTTCATAATACTGTAAATGATATTATCTAAGAGTCACATACATAGTTATTTTAGCAGAGAATATTCAAAGAAAAAAATCACTTTTTTTAGCATATTTACAAGTAAGCTTTCTCTATCCTGGTATCATTTTTTCTGTATGTGGTAAATGCTCTCCACAACAACTGTCACTCTCCTTATTACCTTGCTCCTTGCATAGTTTACTACTTTTAGTTTGTATCCAATCATCTAGCTTAAAGTGTTTTCTTTTTGCAGCCATCTTGAATTGAATGCTAAATGAAGATATTCATCTAAAAAAAAACGAATTTTAATTTTTACAATTCCTTTTTAATTAATATGCACATTACAATAATGATATTAACAGTAACATTTCCATTCTTTAAAATAAGGTTACATTCAAGTACTTTTGATCTACAGTGTCTGAGTAAGTGTTACTTTACCAGATCCTCATCTTCACAAATAACACCTGGGATATATTTTAAGAGTTAAGGTTGGAGCAAAAGTGTAAGTATTCTATATCATCAAATATGCTAATAGAGTTAAATCATTCAAAGATCAATAAAGAAAATTAAGTTGAGAAATTAAAAGATAGCTTGATAATAAATTTCAAGTAAGTTTTACTAAATAATTCAAACAGGTAAATAATGATATAAACAATAGGCTGGTCTTGTATTTGTTTTGTTTTACGGTATATCAACCTCAAGGTGTTATTTAATGCCGACAAAATTTTTTATTGCAGGTAATATTTTTTTTCTCAAAAATCTATTTGCTGATAATAATGTATTACTGGTAATAATTTTTTTTAAAAAAGGTATTTCTGGTATTAAAACCTGTTTTTACACTTTCATAATATTTTCACCCCAGTTTAGGGGTTAAATACTTGCCTCTAGCTGGGACCTTAACAGATGCTAACACCCTGGGTCAGGGTGGACCTGGGAGCACCAGCAATTAAGAGGTGGTTCCACGCTCCTCAAAATCTCTTGATCAGAGGCCTTGCTGTTGGATGTAGTTTATCATCTTACCCAGGACATGGCTGGTATTGTATGCCATTAGTAAGCAGTTCTCTTTCATGGCTGTGTCACATTTGTGGCTTAGTCTTAAGAAAGAGTATACCTGTTACAAAATGTGTGCTTTCCTTTGTTAAAGATCATTAGAGAAGAAAATTAAAAGCTTGAGATGTCATTATTAGACATGAGATTGGCATTAAACCCACCTAATCACCAAAGTTAAGCAATGTTAAGCCTGTTCAGTACCTAGATGGGTGACCACTTGGGAATATCAGGTGCTGTAAGGTTGGATGTGTGAGTGGGGTAATGGATAATGATTTAGAATTGTTAATCAGAGAATTAAATTTCATTGGGTTTGTTATATTCGCTCACATGCAAATACCCTTAGGAAACGCATGAATCCACCTCTTCTTCCCCCAACTATGGTTTAATTAGTAATATTTGTATCACTAAAATCATTAATAATTATCTCAAACAAAAAAATAAATAAAATTTTATACAAAATATTAAGATTTCCATATTAAATAACCTATAGAGGTTGATATGCCAATAAACAAAACTACCAACAAACCATTATTATGCTGTCGAGATTAAAGTTGGAGCTATATTTGGGATGGAAGTTTGGGAGAAGGATTACTCTTGAAAATCCAATGCCATGTAATTTTGAATTTTTCTACCTATGATTCTTTAGGTTCCTTTTAAAATAAGTTTGGCTAGCTTAAGAAAAAGTTCATACAAATTCTAGCCATATTTGCTACTTGTAATTTGGTAACATTTCGTTGGAATCTACATCAGCAAAAGTGGACATTATCGAGAAGCTTACAAATATGATCGCAAAGATTGAGTAAGTGGAAAAAAAAATCTGTCTGTAAAGAGTATGCCATTGAGTCAAATGTAAGGATTGTGTTAGCAATATTGACAATTCTGTATTAGGATAGCAAAAAATAAACATGAACTTAAAGGCTAGAATAAAATTCTGAAAGTTCAAAACACAAATATTAAAATGGTTGAAATGTTGTTCTCTGTAAATTCTTCTATATACCATGTCCCTTCAAGTACATAGGTGATTGTGGCTTCCCATAACTTTCTATTCCATATGGCTCTCCTTTTGCTAAGGTCCCCTTTCCACATTCACACAAGCTTATCAATTAAGTGGTTTGCTGTCTTCCTTGATCTCTCTTACTCTCAATATGCTCTATGAGGGTTAAGTTTCCCAAGATCTCCTTCCTCATTATGTGATGCATGATAACAGTTCACAAAGTCCAAATCTCTATGTATGCACATGCAGCCTCTTTGCAAAAAATCACCTTTTTTGTCAGGAAAGTCAATTGCGTTTATAGTAGTTCTGTGGACCCTTATCAGGTTTTTGATTCGTGGGGCATGGAAATGGATTAGTGTATTTTTCTATGCAATACTAAGTAAAATTTGAACCCCGATTGATTAACAGAAGCTAATTTACACAAGTTCACATCAGTGGTGAAGCATTTTTCTTTCTTTCCTCTTTTTTCCTATGCAAAAGCAGTATGTAACATGAAAGCGTTTTGGCCTTAGGGTATGTCACCATTTTCTTCTGTACAGTGACCAAGGAATTTCTTCTGCCTTTTTCTGATTTTGGATATAAGTACCATTCCTGTTGCTATTTTCTTTAAGACTTCCTTGTTGCTTACTCACTCCATCCATAGAATTTTCAATATCCTTTCTGTAGAACCATATTTCTGCTACCTCTAGTTTTCCCCACTCATCCTTAGGAAAACATTCACTGCCATATAAGAGGAAGGATACCACATAGTAATCCAGCACTCTTCTTTATTTCTACCAAAATCATTCTGTTTCCTAGCCCCTTGCTTAGCTTTTGGAATAAAGTCTCCTGCTACTATTTTTTGTCTTCTGTTGTGTCTTTTATTCAATTTAACTACTTCCTTTTGTTTATTAAACTTGTAAGACTACCAGAAGCAGAATTTGAAAAGTACTCATCTCCTGAAGATTCATCCACACTCAATGGAAAACAGAAGTGAGCAGTCAGTACAGTGACATGGATAGGCACAATCCCTCAGGGATCCTCTCTCACAAAATTAAGCTGCAAAAAAGAGGTTGGAGGTCGCTTCTGGCAGTCGTAATTTCTTCTGCAGACAATGTGGTAAAACAAAAAGGACAATTATCCTTAGAACCAAAAAGAAACAGTTGAAATTTCCAGGGTACATAATGAGAAAAGAGGGCTTAGAAAATGTAAGACCCACAAAACATTTTGAAAGCAAAAGTGACAGAAGAAAGCAGTAAATAACTGTGGTGAACAATTACAAAGTGGGTGACGTCGTTTTGGTAAAAATTCCTCACGAGAAGTGCATGACTAAGTTTAGAATAGGCCATGTGACTCAGGTTAATAGTCTACAGTTAGTACACATTGATGAAGTTCTGCATCATGTGAAGGACCTACCTCTTTATGTGATCAGTCCTGGCATCTGGACATGACAGCAATTCTGAATAGAGTCAGCAGGTAGTAAATTTGGGATCGACCTTATTAGGAGAAATTGATGACTCCCCCCGATAATGAAGAGACGACTGGAAGCTCTTCCCAAGCTTGTGGCTGAATAACAATGATTTACCTAATGAACTTGTGTAAATGATTGGTAGAATAAGGATTAGGAGAGATAGATTTATTCTCTCTCCAACTATGGGTAAAATACCAACATAAACTTGAATCTATAGCCTAGAGTGGCAACCAGTCTAGAAAAGGGACTATGAATTCACAATCACGGAGAATGAAGCAGGAAACCACTCCACTATCTTTCTCATGCCAATGCACAGATAATAAAAGCCATGACAGCCTATGTCCTGAAGGAACAGGATATTAAAAAAAGTATGATATATGTGTATATTTTTGTGTATGTATATGTGTTTTTGTCTATCTCTAACACCACAAAGGAGAAAAGCTTACTGCAACCAACATCTGCAAGATATTTTTAGAAAGTGCAAAAATACTATGAACATGAACTGCCAGAAAAAAGTTAAAAGAAATAATTTTAAAAGCAAACAACCTACAATAAATATGCCTTTAAACCACTTTTTTTTCCTTCTAAGTAGGTTCCCACACATTTTCCCCGTTTATTTCTTTACATTGTTTATTAATGAGATATTTTGAACATAGATTCTGACAGGGTAAAAAAAAAAAAAAACTTGTGCAACAGTATATATACATGTGGCAACAAATTTCTTACCCTGTAACAAAGAGTAAATGCAATGGCAAAATTTCTTACCTCCAGTAAATGCTCTTCAGAACGCTTTATCAGATCTTCAAACACATCCCTAAATTGGTATAATTTGTGTGCCTGACTTGTTTTGTGGGTAGCAATCTCTTCCAGGGGCTTGTACACATTTTTTATAAGTAAACCAGCAACATCAAGGTGAGCCTGTCAAGTAAAAAAAAAATGAAAAGAAAACAATTTGAGTTATTTGGGGTGAAGAATTGCTATTATTCTATGAATTAGTTTAATTACTTTTTCTTATCTTTGTTGTTTTCATTCCTACATTTTAGCCAGTGGGCTCTCTGATCTTCCTCAAGTTTATGTCACAATTAGTAATCTTTAATATTTGACCATATTAATCCAAATGAGAAAGATTTATCTAGTTCCATTTTTTTATTGCTTGGTCAGTGTTATGTGGCATTTTTTCTTGGATTAGCCATTTTGTTGAGATTTACCAGATCAAGAAACCTTGCTATATGTTTAGAAGTAGATGAAGAATTCAAAGTTTATCTGAAAAGAAAGCATGTCAATAAAAAAAAAATGGAATTCTTAAACTGTGGGTAAAACAAAGTTTTAGATGCTTGTCTATCTGGGAAGCCTTCAGGGAATATTTGAACTGAACCCATTATTTAATCTACAGTGAGAAATTATTCTCATTTCATTGACAATGTCTAGGCTTATCAACCCATTTTTGGGTTATTTAAAGCCAAAACGTAATTTAGAATATACAAGTATTTGTTTTTTTATGTGTGAATATAACATTAATAAGTTTTTGAGAATAACAATGATTTTTTTTTTTCAGATACAAGTCCTAATAGTTAACCGATGACTAAAAAGATTAGATGGATTCATAACTTTCCCAATGGTATTTGCACCTAAGTGAATGTAGCAAACCTGACTGGAACTTGAATTCAGTTCTGATTTCTTATTCCGAGACACTATCCATTGGATCACCAGCACATTCTTTATGCCTTCATAACAATCTCATTCAGTAACTCTCTACCTTGAGTGGCTCTTTGGCCTTATATTGGATGAAGAATAGTATAAAAATATGCATATAAAAATATCTCAATGGATGAATGTAGATGTGTGTAAATTTTTTGTCATTGTAGCATTTGATTAAGTATTTTCCATTAAAAGTAAACCATGATATACTAATGATAGAAACTTAAAATATGATTCAGTGATTGCTTAATTAGAATGTCAGGAAAATACAAATATATAAAATTCCCTCAGTTTCTTACACATTTGCAAATCCATATTTTTCCCCTGTTGAAAAGCTGTCAAAGTCTGTGACCTGAATCTCATAGCAACGTTAATTTGATAATTCTTTGCAGTAAGCAGATAATCTCAGGAAAACGTGATCAAATGATTTTTCTTGGAATATTTTCAGGATCTTATGGCACCAATCTACTGAGAAGTGAACAAAAGGCAAGGAAAAATGGGAGAAAAAAAGAAGGAATTATCAGAAAAGAAATAAGATGATTCATTACATAAGTAAAAATTCTTTGAGATAATATCATTTGTGTGACACATACACAACAATATAGTGAAATCAAAAGAAAATGATTGAATCCGTCAACACAGCAATAATAACAATATCTCCACACATGACAGTAATTGACATAATTTTCAGTTAACAGTATGAAAATAGCATTCTCTAAATTCTTCCAGTTACTAAGGACATTTTGTTTTTATTATTAGTTATTTTGTTTAAATAAATTCATTTCGTTTTTTGCCTTGGGAACGTCCACATTGGATGAAACGTGTCAGCAACTACTACAGTTTTCCTATTGTCATTTATATTTATAAATAATATCATTTGTCAACTTTATTTGCAAAGAAATTGAAAACAATTTCCATTAAAAGATCATCCATGTTTCATTATATTAACTTTTGAACAGTCTTGGTAGAGAAAATGCTAGTATGCTTATCTTGCATTGACAGTAAGTTCAATTCTCACTAGATGCTTTACAAATGAATAAAATTTGTTTTCATTTAATATAGTGTTTCTCAAGCTTTTTTTTTTTTTTTTACTTCAA